AGAAGATTGCCTTAAAGTCCACAAGTGTAATAGCTATCCTTTCTCACACACATACGTCCAGTCAGTTGTGAAATAGACTGCCTAGTTTTGCCTGTCTGTTTTCAAAGGATTAAACACAAAGAGCTGTTTTGTCTCTGAGCATCATTCTGTTCTGATCTTCATGCGGAATGATGAATAATAAGTGAAAATAACAGGTAAACATAAGTAAGTGCCTCCCTTTTCAATATTGGCCCCAGAATGTGATGGCAAGTTCACATGAGAAGTGTAGTACAAAATGTATCTTTGTTAAGTACCAGTTTCTGTATAGTTCCCAGCTTGCAGTGCACATCCTTCTCCAAGTATGGGAGAAAGGGTGATTGAGTATAAATGGAACAGGTCCACCTGTCAGTGGCTGTCTTATTACTCATATTGTAACAGTATCCTGATATCATAGTAGATCTAAACTGCTTTTTCCCCCCTCACTATAAATCAGAAAGGAGCCGTATTTTGCCTGCATGTGTTTCTTGCCTATGTGTGTATATGTATAAATGTACATCCACAATGCAGGAAGCACCACTAGAGGCCATCATATACTTATCTAAATAAATGCTAAATTAATGCATTTCCTTCATGGAGAATGCAACCTCTAGCATTGTCGGAACAGTATTATTGCACTGAACAAATAGTCCCCTCTGGTTTGCTGCTGTACAAAATATTTATTTTTAACCAGGAAAAGCTTACAATAACCATTACAAACCACAGAAATAAATACTCATCAGCCCACACTTTTAATAGAGATTGTTAAAAAAATAGAGCATTTACTACTTAGGATGAGATTACATAAAGGACTATATTGTGACCTAGATAGCTTAGGTAACATCCATAAGTCAAGTTAATGGTATTCGAGTAGAAATTTCAATTCACCTTCTTGAATTGGACATGCCATGTATTAGCTAGTTCCTAGTGAATTGTGATATATTTATTTTTAAACTCTACCACTTTGCCCAAACTAATAGAAATGTGGAATATTTTTTTCAAGTATCAGTGGTCATTTTATCTCTGTATTTTTTAAAAATCTGGCTATGCCAATATGGTAAATTTGCTAAGGGAAATACTGTGCTATCAGGCTCACCCATAACATAGCTGCCGACAGCTTTTAGTTTTCTAAAATTTCTCTCTCACTTGTCTATATTTTCTAAACATTTTATTCCACTCTCAAAACTCACCCTGGATAAGAGAAAATGGTGGAAGAGGAGGTTGTTGGGAAGAATTTTATCAAATAAACTCACATTTTTTTAGCCCTGTTTTCTTTTGCCTCTTCTCAGCATGCTTAAAGTGCCTTTTTCTGCTCAAAAGGAGAAAAAAAATCATAATACATCTTTGGCCAATTTGAAGGGGCTGCTTACTAGATTGGAGATGGTAGGAGGAAGATGAAAACTTGCAGTGGTTGACAAGATGTTGCTTTCCTGGGTGGAAAATCAGAAGCAAATATAAAGTGGCATTATGCTTTATTACATCTAGATTCTTTAACAATCATTTCTAAGAAATCTCTCCATTTTAAAGTTTAAGAGTTATAGCTGGATATGGAAGGGATTGAAAATGTCCTACCTTATGAAGGCCTCTTGATATAAATCTGAATGAGCAGCAATAGTCCTGATTTTGTTGAATATCTATTAGGTTTAATGGCAATCTTCTCTTCCAACCTGCCAATTCTACTCTGGGGACCTGGTGGTTGAATCTTTAGAGTATGTGCCTTCATAATGCTGGCAAATGCTGGTAAATTTGGTAAATAAAATAATTTGGTAAATAAACCGGCCTGTAATATATGACCAAAACCTCCCTTGATATGGGAAGGAATATCAGAATATCATAAATCTGCCCAGTTGGGTTTTAAGTCCTACATACTATAGTCTCAAAATGAGGAAGAAGGCTGGTAATCATGACATATTGTCTGTGGTCAGGGTTAGTGGTTTCAAAGTGGTTAGCATGACTGCTTAGATTGGACTGTAGGAATAAATAACAAACCCTAAATTCTGCTGAAGATGTTACTTGGCCTGATAACAAAACATTTGGAAACTAACCCACAAGGTCAAAAAATGAACCTCCACTCCCATCCTCCACCCAAGCTACAAATATTTGCCACTATCGCAAGCAATTGTGGGTGCACCCCGGTACACCCACGTTACACCTATCCTCCGCGAGCTGCACTGGCTACCTATTGGTCTCCGGATATGCTTCAAGGTACTAGTCGTCACTTATAAAGCCCTTCATGGTATTGGACCTGGGTACTTGAGAGACCGCCTGCTGCCAATTACCTCCNGAGGTAATTGGCAGAAGGCGGTCTCTCAAGTATCCAGATCCACTGCCATGTAGGGCTTTATGGGTGATCAATAGCACCTTGAAGCGCATGGGTGTATCTAGGTACACCCATTATCGCTCGCGCGGCTGCATTCTGGACTAACTGCAGTCTTCGAGCACTCTTCAAGGGCAGCCCCATTTAGAGCGCATTACAGTAATCCAGTCTTGAGGTGACGAGGGCGTGAGTGACCATCCGAAGGGCCTCCCGGTCCAGATAGGGTCACAACTGGTGCACCAGGTGAACCTGGGCAAAGGCCCCCCTGGTCACAGCCGACAAGAGGTGGAAAGGTAGATAATTCAGAGGGGAAATTACAGTCCATAAGAACAAACTAAAATGAGATCAGTTAATGAATAGTACAACAGATGCATACATGCCCTATGTTGCTAGAGATTATCCAGCCTTGCATGATTTTTAGATCACTCTTACATATGTTCAGTTTTATACTGAAATGGGAAAAGTCTAATCCAAGTAGCAAAATGACTAGTAAAAATTATTAGTAAAATGCTAAGGCCTGAATTAGCAAAATATTTGAACATTAGTACCTCAGGCCATGCTTGTATTTGCCTAAACCCATGCCTATAAAAGATGAATGAGCTATATTTGTTTAATAAGGAACAGATTATTTCATAACACTGAGCTGCAGATAATCAAACTGAACTGCTATGTGATTCTGATCTAAAACTGATATTTGTCTTACAGACACGTTCCAAAACAGCAGCAACATTTAACTACTGTAGCTTTGTGGCTCAGCCTCTCATGCTATTATATTAGTTCAGCAATACTAATTTACTAGGCTGTGTGAGTATATTTGTATTGATTTAGAAAATCAGTAAGAAGGAACCATGGTTGTAAAAGGCTAACTTGGAGGGATAGCTCTTTTCTCAAAACTAAAAATAATTTAAAGGTAAAGGTTCCCCTCACACATATGTGTTAGTCGTTCCTGACTCTAGGGGGCAGTGTTCATCTCAGTTTCAAAGCCGAAGAGCCATCGCTGTCCGAAGATGTCTCCATGGTCATGTGGCCGGCATGACTAAATGCTGAAGCTGTACAGAACGCTGTTACTTTTTCACCAGAGGTCGTCCCTATTTTTTCTACTTGCATTTTTTACATGCTTTCGAACTGCTACTGTGTTTCCCCAAAATTATGACATGTTCTGATAATAAGGCCATCCCATATTTTTCCTGTAGGCAAAAATATATGCCCTCCCCCAATAATAAGCCCCCTGGACAACCCGCCCTCCAACCAGGCAGAGTGCCACTCACCAACCTAGCGATATCCCGAAGGAGAAAAGCCACAGGAGCCGGGGAGGAAGGCAAAGGCGCTCACATAGCTTGACGCCGTTGGGATACAGTTAGGTTGGTGGGTGGCGCTGTGCCCAGCTGGAGCAGGGGGTTGCTGGGCAGCTGCTCTCATGAGTAGCCACCCGGCAACACTCCTTTCCAGCCGGGCAGAGCGCCACTCACTGACCCAGTAATATCCCAAAGGCACTAAGCTGCGTGGCGCTCTGCCCGGCTGGAAAGAGAGGTTGCGCGAGCACTTGTTCTGCCCCAGCTCACGTGCCTCCCAGCCTCACCATGCCCTGGCCCTGTTGGAAGACACTGGTGGGACAGAGAGTCTTCCCGCAGCAAGCCCACAACCATAGAGTGTAGTCCCAGAGCAGAAGACTCAGCAGTGGATCTCTGGAGTTTGGAAGCCGGTTATGCTCGGAGCACGACGGCAGCAGTGGCAGCGCAGCAGTGGCAGTGCCCTGGCCCTGCAGGGAGAGCTGGCACAGTGCATGGTGAAGCTGGGATGCACATGAGCTGGGACAGAACAGGTGCTCGCGCAACCTCCCTTTTCAGCTGGGCAGAGCGCCACACAGATTAGCACTTTTAGGATATTACTAGGTCGGTGAGTGGTGCTCTGCCCGGCTAGAAAAGGGGTTGCCGGGTGGCTGCTTATGAGCGTGGTCACCTCATGGCAGCTTTGTTGCGCTGCTATGCTGCCACCCCCCGATAATAAGGCCTAAGCAACATTGGGGGGGGGTCAAAAGAAAATAAGACCCTGTCTTATTTTCAGAGAAACACGGTAAGTTGGCAGAAGCTTGGACAAGTAATGGGAGTTCAATCCATTATGCGGCACTAGGGATTTGAACTGCTGAACTGCCAACCCTTCTGATCGTCAAGCTCAGCATCTTAGCCACTGAGCCACAGCATCCCTAAAGAATGATTTAGAAAAAGTAAAAAGTACAGTGCCAAATTCCTCCCCTAAACAAATAATCAAATAACAAACAGGAGGAAAATGAAATGATTAAAGCCTTAAGTGAAGTAAAAATGTACAATGTTGAAGATCAACATAGCCAAACATGGTAAAGTAAGGATGACTCATGTCAAGAGCCCAGTGATATGCAGACCTTAGTTTGTGCGTTTTTTCTTCCATCCTTCACATAAGCCTATTTAAAAATGGAAACTTAAGATGAAAATAATGCAAAACAGTGTGTCAAGAGGTGAAGCTATGTTATTTTATTCATTATTTTGCATATGACCGTACTATGGAAACCTAAACTGATCATATCACAGTCATATACACAACAATGAGTCATGACTTCCCTAATTTAGAAAACATTTTATTGATTGGTTTTGTTGGAACAATGGCAATTAATCACCCTTTGGATCTATTGCAGATCGTCCAATGATATGTTTTTCTTGATTTATCTTCTACTTATCCTGATAACAATAACATAACCTTAAAATAACCAATAAGAAATATATTTCTTCATTCTGGACAAAAAGGTGGGATAAAAATTGAAATAATAACAAATGTTATAATAATTAACACCCAGACATAATAATTGTTGATAAGAAAGACAAAAAAAGAGGCTGGATAATAGATGTGACAGTATCTGGAGACAGTAGAAAAGAAAGAACTGGAGAAGCTAATAAAATATAAAGACCTGCAAATAGAAATAGAATGACTGTGGCAAATGAAAGTAGAGTAGTAGCAGGTGCTTGGAGCACCACTTGAACCCAATTGGCATGGATAAAATTCAGCATCAGTCAATTGAAAAAGGCGGCATTACTCGGAACAGCTACGATATCTGTAAGACCATCAAATATCCACATCTGCCTGTCCCAAGTGTTTGGGAAAGACTCTATAGGCCAACAAAAATACCAAATCCAGTTGAACATCTGGCAATGAACCATAATAAAAGTCAATACATAACATTATGCCCAAATTATTGTTTGACTGTAGCAAGAAGCCTTGCCTGAAAATCTGTGTTTGGTCTCTCCTTCAATTAGCCTCACCAGATATTAGATTTCAGCACTCTTGCCTCCATTCTTTACCTGGATCTTCACTGCTGCATGTTGCTTGTTTTCTACTCTATTACCTTCTGGGAATAAAATTCAAAATAACATTGACATACTTGCTTGACATATAGCCATTCTAAGGATTTTAAAAATATTTTATTATTCTTTGCACCAGACAAAATGTAAGAAATACAGAAGTTGCTGAGGATTCTGGATGTCCTTCCCCAGAAGAACTGTGGAACAAAGCCATCAAAAGATAAAAATGCAGAAAAATCTCCACAATGCAGTTCCTCCCTCTCCATGAGAAAATAAACTGGGCAACTGATCAGATGGTTGTTAACTACAGATAGTCCTTGATTATAGAATAGAATAACAGAATTCGAAGGGACCCTGGAAGTCTTCTACTCCAACCCCTTGTTTAGGCAGGAAACCCTACATCACTTCAGACAAATGGTTATCCAACATCTTAAAAATTATCACTATTGGAACATTCAAAATTTCTAGAGGCAAATTGTTCCACTGATTAATTCTTCTAACTGTCGGGAAATTTCTCCTCAGTTCTAAGTTGCTTCTCTCCTTGATTAGTTTCCACCCATTGCTTCTTGTTCTACCCTCAGGTCCTTTGGAGAATAGTTTGACTCCCTCTTCTTTGTGGCAACCCCTGAGATATTGGAACACTGCTATAATGTCATCTCTAGTCCTTCTTTTAATCAGATTAGACATACTCAATTCCAGCAACCGTTCTTCATATATTTTAGCCTCTAGTCCCCTAATTATCCTGTTGCTCTTCTCTGCACTCTTTCTAGAGTCTCCACATCTTTTTTTTCATCGTGGAGACCAAAACTGGATGCAGTACTCCAAGTGTGGCCTTACCAAGGCATTATAAAGTGGTATTAACACTTTATATAATTACATATTATGAGTGTAATGAAGCCTGCTCGTCATGGTGGTAACTCACAACAGTCATAAACCTGGTTGATCATGTGACTGATCTGATTTTATGATTTTTTTTCAAAGCAGTTGTTAAGTAAATCGCCATGATTGGAAATCCATGTACCTTAAGGAAATCAATGGTTTACTGTGGGTTCAGTTTTGCCGGAAATTGAAAGCAAATGCCAGGTTTCAGCAAAACCATCATAAAACATGGTCATATGACTGCAGGACTCTGCAAATGGTCATAAATGAGGCCTCGTTGCCAAGTGCCTGAAGTACAGTCATGTGACTGAGGTGGGGCTAGAGAACTACCTGTACAGTCACCAAGATCCTAAACTGAGGACTACCTATATTCCACTCTAACCTCCCTCTCTCCTTCTGGTCTTGTGAACTTTCATAATTCCCCCAAGCATCACATGCTTTTCCTATCTCCATATCTCTCCCCCCCCACCCAAGATTAATAAAGTTGGGGGAAAAAGGAACAGGGGCTTTTGGGCTTCCAGTGGCAACAGCTGTTAAAAGTGTTCTAAACTTTATTGGAAACTATGCTCCACCTCCTTTCCAATCCAATTGGTGGTGGAGCAATTCAAAAGTTTCTCTTTTCATCAGCAGAAACCTTCTCCCAAAACTGAGCAGATCAGAGGTGACAGACAGCATAATCTAAACCAGTGTTGTGCTGGCTGAGAATTCTGTGAATTAAAGTCCACACATCTTACAGTTGCCAAGTTTGAGAAACGTTGATCTAAACAGTCCATTTATTTTTCAGGCAAACGCATAGAGTGAAATGTCACTCTATTATAGCTTTGGCTTCTTTTCCTGACTGTAATGAAAAAGCTGAGCAGTTCATAAAGTTGAAAGCTGTTTGTACCACAATGTTCCCTTCACCACCATCAGTGTTCCTTCCACTACCAGTGTCATATTGCCACTCAGATCTCAGGATGATTTAAAACAACTTAATTTTAGCAATTTTAATAAAACCCAGTGTGTAACATCCTGTCTGGACAAATGAAGATGAATAAATGCTGCCTTGAGTTATCTGTAAAATAATATAAGTGGCATAGAAATTAAATAATTAAAAATAAATCCTAAAAATTGTAATGACTAAAACAACATGTCTAAGATGGAAATGGCAATTGCAAAAACTCCATTTGACTTTCCAGTCTGCACCTGGAAAATATGGTAAAGTGTCTCATATACCAGGGAGCTTAAAAAAAAAAAGACCAGCACTGAATCCAAGATTTGTTTGTTTGTTTGTTTTTTTGTTTGTTAAATTTATTTGCCAACCATCTCATACCCAATGACTCTGGGTGACTGACTGTACAACAATATATTTGAATGGCAGCTAATGTGATTGTGGAAGAGATCATATACTCATATTTAGAACTAGATTGTACATCTTATATATTATGCAAAAATACACTTTGTATACTATAACCTTACTTCCATCAATACAATATTTCTGTTGATGCATGTTATACATTTATTCTAATTAAATGTTGGAAGAACTAAAACACTGGGAAAGAGATTCAGTATTGAACTATCACCTTCATTTCCTGTCCTATTTTGTGTTAGTATGCTGCAGTAGCACATTTATTTGTCCCTAGAGTAGGGGAAGCAAAACAAATCATTCCTTAGGAGGGGTAAATCAGTATTGCTTTATTGATTTTCTATGATTTATATGGGAAAAACTGGCAGTCTGATTCTGTTCAGCACAGAGGCTATTCAACCTCAATTGTATGAACTGCATGGCTTTTTTTCAAAAAGGGTCATGTCCTCCATCTGTTCATTTCAGTGGCACAAACCTCGATATAATCCAATCCTTCAAGAGCAGAAATTATTTACTGTTCCCACTGCATTCAGACAAATTGAAACTGTGCATGTGTATTTACATCAACATAAAGTGTTTCATTTGCAATGATCATATGTTTATGATGTTTTCTAAATAAAGCTTCATGAATCTTACAAAGCTCAAACAGTTTTTGGAGATGCCGCTTCAAAATCGCACTTCAGAATGCAGACACATATGTGGGAAGCACCTGGAATCTGGAAAGCTAGCATGTTTTCTGCAGCATTTAGAAATGAATAGAAAAGCAGCTTACAGACAACTGTATAATCAGTTTCCATTCCTCACGATAACTCCATTATCTGGAACTGTCTCTTCTCTTTCAGGGATAGGTCTCCCTAGAAAAATCTCCTAAATGCCTTAAATCCACAGAATTAGCTCTCCTTATTTATTTATTTATTTGTTTGTTTGTTTGTTTGTTTGTCTTGTATGCCGCCCACTCCCGG